AGAAGAAACCTTTAAAGTGCATACATTTGTACATGTAGGCCCCCTATTTGTGTGGGGCTGTTCGTGAGTGTAATAAACCACATCCTGCCATCATCTCCTTCATATCTTGAAACAAAATGTATAAACAGAACACCTGAATTTCTCATCAAAATATTGATTTTGATGAACGAAGCCAAGACCGAGCACCTCAATAATTTCGACCCGGCAGCAAATTATTACACTCTAAACCAGATGTGTTATTAACACGTGAGCAATCTTTCTGCCTGAGTTACTTGTATTTTTTGCAGGGCAGGAGCACAGTGAGTGTGTTGATATGAGAGCTAGGAACGAGTACCAGCTGCTTTATTTATCGCTTGTCGAAACACGTCCTGATGCTCTCTGCCCACATTTGATAATTAGTGAACTGTATACCCCAGTTTGCATCAAATGTACATGTAAACTACCAGTGTGCACATGAGGTTTGTACACATACATACATATCGGTACATGCACATTTATGCACATGTTATATATTAAACACTTTGTAAAAATTCAGCCGAGACTGAATATTTTGGGGAATAAAAATCCATAGAACTTTTTACAGCTAAATTTCTCCCAATATCACTATTTCATTTTTAAATGGAGAACACATTTGCATCTTACATACATCACACTTTTTGAAAATCAAAATAATTTGTGAAAAAGGAGTAGCCCTTTGTTTTGGAAATGGGACATACACATGTCTTTGAAAGCAAGTCCAGCTACAAATGCTGGTTTCACTTCCACATGTACCGGGTGTGTGCACAACATGGATGTAAATTCCAATCTACTGGCAGTGTGCATGTACATGTACAACACTACATGTACCATATATAGGTACATGTAATGTATAACATACAATGTACTGTAGCAGCTGGTTTTGCTCATCATGTCTCCTTGACACAAAACCAAGGCAGTGCTAGCACCAACAGTGAAGGCACCTCATCAGGCTGGCTTTAAATTTTGCCCTGAATTTCATTCAACTGTACACTTAAGGGCAATAAGATGCATACATGTACTATTGATTCACAAACTGGCAATGCAAGAAGATAAGAATTCATGTATGAACAAATGGGCTTCTAATGAATATGGAATTCGGCTTCAGGGAAGAGGGATGTATGGTACAGTGCATAAACGCACAAGAAGGCAGTGGATATCGGCAGCATCTTAAAGGTTACAGTGTACATGTAGGTTATGGATCTAGCAGTGTTGTCCTGACAACGATAAGACTGAGCTGATTAGAAGTTGGGGGAAAGGTCAAAACTGGGAACAGGCCCTATAGGGTTTAATCACTCATTATTGACCAAAAATACAGGAAAAAGCCATACAAACCACAAGTGTACAGGCGACAGTATCTTTCCTCTTTGTTGCATGGGTACTGTACTGGTACTCATGTCAACTGTGATGCATAAATTTATACATGTACATGTACACATTCTGGGCTGTTTGCCCCAAGAAAACTTGAAGACGACTCTTCGTCTCTACTTGTCAGTAGTATACAAGAACACAATGTACATGTACATGTACCAGTACATAGGGTATACATCTTTTAAGTTTTACTTCAAAGTCACTTTTTCAGCAACCTGTGCATCTACTCAAATATGAGAAAACTTTCCAACGCATATATTGTATCACACATACATACATGTACAAATGAGTACCACTGGCACATCAATCTGCAACTTGCCCAAAAAGTCTCAGGCAAACTACATGTACATGCACTGTGGAACTTCTAAACTGCTTGATTGTACACATGATTTTTAATCAACACTTCTTTCACCTTCTTTCACTCAGGACGTGGCACATCTATGGAAGGGGACTGAAAAATTGTGAGGGTAACTGTGCGCTTGTCCGACGACAATACAATTTACAAAGACTCTTATGCTGCAGTATGGGGGGTCCTGGCTTTACAGTGTGAATGGACATTGTTACGCAGTACCTTGGTGATTTCTGCAGAGGGCAACATAATAAATGAGGTTGATCGACGGCACTCAGGATCAAGCGGTCAGACCTGGATTGTGTACAGCCTTCAAGAAGGCTTTACCATTATCAAATCCACAATGTACAGTGTGAAAGTAAATTTCAAGATGGTGACATCAGAAATGTACAATGTTACCAGTAGGCACCCAAATGTAGAGTAGGATAGATACAGTATACTATAGATGCACAATATACAGAGCTGTGCACGGAGCATCTGAGCTGAAGTAATCTTGCATAGTTGTCTTTGTCTGAATTTAAAAATTGTAGGCGCATATGTACATGTGTAATAAGCCACTGGGGCTAATCTTATTGGATTCAGCAATGGGTTCAACAATGAACCCATTCTAGTATTTTTTATTTTACCAATGATGGGTCAGTTATCAAAGCCACGCCACTTCTTACATACATGTATAGAGCTTGGGCACATACATGTACTGTGTGAATACCGGTACATTATTTACATGAACATGTCAAGTATGCAGCCTCTTTCCTTACTGGTACATGTCAAGTATGCAGCCTCTTTCCTTACTGGTACATCTTACCTGCAGCACACATTTGTATTAATTACACCTTCAAATACATGTAATTATCACATGTCCAAAAGACAGAGTCAATTCAACTGGAATATCCACTTCCGACTGGCAAAATTTAAGTGTTGTCCATGTGTCCGAGTGCTATCCACTTTACAAATCGATTTCATGATGTGCCATGAGGTGACAGCTCAGTGCTCACCTCAAATGTAGGGTAACAAATGAAATGAGGGAAAACAGACATTTGAACAAGTGAAAGACCGTTATATGGAGACAGTGAATTTATCCTTTTCGAGCACGCCAAGGAGTAACGATTTTGATGCAACTTTATGGTACTTTTATCTTATGCCGGTAGCTTGAGTAACTCCAATCCTGATACTTCAGACATTTGGAAATTCATGATGAGTATAAGGATTGCGTTTCTCAAGCTACATGTACATGAACATGTGTACAATGTACATGTTCATGGAGGACCAACAGTACTGCAATATATCCACCCTACTGTACAATATGAAGGCAGTCAATGTCAAAGTAACTGTAGGCATAAGAACACTGTCTGAGAGGCACATTTCATTAATTTTGTTTATGCTAGAAAGTAGATTCTGCTGTTTTAAATCCCATGCCGAAACTTCAAATGCAGAAACCAAAGAATTTCATTTTGACTCACCACAAATTCTGAGTCTCACACCACCAACACATTTACCCGACATTTTAAACTTGTTCCCCAGGGCTACTGTACCGTACATACATGTACAATACCTGAAAATCAGGCTTGAAACACACTTTATACACCCATCTCCATTACATAAAACAGCCCCCCCATTAATGCTTGCGTTTACCCAGGAAACAGACCCAAGGTTATGGTCTATTAATTCTTCTTAGCCTACTGAATTGTACACAAAACTTCTTCACACAGTCATTTCAACTGCCAAGTGCAAAATTTTCGCTCCTTTCAGTCTTGAAAATTTCAGCACACAGTATTTTACAGTCTCAATTTCTTTTTTTTGGGGGGGGGAGAGGGAGGGGGCAACAAACTTCCTCATATGTCAGGTACACATGTGCCAAGTCTGCAAACATGCAGCACCAAACAGGGGTCTTGAGGTCTGGGTACAATAGCGAGCTTGTTCCCTAAGGTTTTATTCCAGTCACCTCCTGTATGTGCATGCATGGAATGCATTCAATTTCTGCACTGTTGGCCCCATTTATGATCATTATGACATATCAGAGGGGTGTCTCACACTGTTATTGTGGGGTCACTAGGTTTAGAGGCGAATTTTAAAAGGACAGGGAATGGAGTTTGAGGCTTTCTAACAAGGCTCCTAAATCCGCATTGTTGATTGGCATGGTCATAGCAAAGGTGTTCTGAATCTGATGTCAATTTCTTAAAATACATGTAGAAGAAAATAGTAAACAAGTCCTTTACAAGTAAGGAAAAGCAAATTTACCATCTGCTATTAAAAGGTGGGGAAAAGACTGCACTGAAACAATTTTTCTGAAAATCATTTATTCCGGATATAGGTAATCAAGTGACATGGCACAAAGTTCATAAAAACAACTAAATATGAATGGAAAATGAGGGAGCCCACTTGGGAAAAAATGTCCCCTTTCAAGGAGACACATCCTCTCTTTCAGGGGACTGGTTTTGTCCCCAAATAAAGGGACTTGTCCGAATGCAGGGACAGTCCCTGAGTTGTGAAGTGCACCTCTACTGCATGTAGGGCAGTGTGGAAAAAGGGTTGGGGAAAACAGAAAGAATTCCATAAACTGATATGAAAGATGCCGTTGCTTTTTCCCTGCAATGACCTATCAGCTATTTAGCAAGGAGTTTGTTAAAAAGTCAATTTTAGCTCTGAAATACATGTGTGGAGGTATTCACTAACAAACAGTTTGAATTTTTCTGACCAGTCTTATAGGGTTTGTGCACTGAGGGTGTCAAGTGGTGTCCAGACACTGTACATCATTCCTTCCTCCATGCTTACATTAAGGAATTCTTTACAACTGATGGGCATGAACATGGTCAAAATGAAGCCTTAAATGTTGTAGGGACTTGGAAAAGAGTTATCTACAGATCTAGCCACCATTTAAACCATGCATGGCGGTTCTATCTGAATTAATGACTAAAGAATTACAAAAAAGTGCAAACCCGATGAAGAAACACTAAGTTGGGGAGTTTTCTTTGAAAATAGGCCTAGGGGCCTCTATTTTTTTCTGTTGTGGCCCATAGACCGTGACTTTGTAGCCCCAGAACTTTATGGGGTCCGACGTCCGCCCCACTCCCATGAACGTCCGCTCCCACGAACGTTGGCCGGACGTCAGACTTGATGCGTACGCCCAAGTCCAATGACAATGTGTTGCTTAGAACGGAACTCTTCGAACTTCCACCATTGACTCATCACAATCACAACTTGACAACAGTGAAATAAATTTTATGGACTGACTTATGGACATGAATCAGTGAATCTTGGTCTTTACCTGATGTTGATCACCTCTTCATACACGGTGGCGCCTACATGCATGACATTGACATTATGCCACGAAGTCGTCTGAGACAATCAAAGAAACAGTCTCGCCGTGCAAAATGCGGTACATTCCATGCAACAAACTTCGTCAATGTGTGCACAGCTAGCATGCAGTGCGATACTTTTTACTGGGCCTGTTACTTTAGCCAGACGAAAGTGCACTGTCCATCGTCAGTTTCAAGTCGTCTGATCTACAGACTAAACACGAGAAAATTCGTCACTCACATTAGTCCCAGTACTAGAACTGCTGCTATAATCTCAACACAACCACTCGCGGATCGTGGCCAGATCTGTTGGCCGCTTGCTCTAGGCACCGGCACGATGCACCAACGCATAATGAAAGTGTCACGCCGCGCCGGCGCGCCATATACTAACGTAAAACTACGCTAACGTACATGTACACTATACTAGTTAGTCTGGCTTGCACTGTTTTTCCAAATCTCGACTATGATTCCACAGTGGTTCTCTTACTTAATAACAGTTTTGCAGTTTTACAAGAAAAAAAAAGTTCACAATTTGCTAGAAAATATGAAACTATGCACAATTTACTGAAATTTAGATTTTCATGATTTCGTTTGAGCTGTATAGGTCTAAAAGCGGTTTTAATGTAAGAAACGCATCTACCGGAACGAAGCCGAGTTTTGAAAACATCCTGCTTGAACAGGCGCCACGGAGCGGCCTTCAACCATTGTTAAATGGGGTTGGTATACTGGGCTCATTAAAGGCAGCGCAAATTAACAACTTTTTATGCACATCTTTTGAGCAGTAGATTGGAATACCCTGCGAACAAAACTTCATTTGCTTTTGAATGCAGTATTTTTAATCATCTTTGTATTCGTTTCTGCTACCTTTTTTTTTAAACAAAAAAAAAGCTGTTATTTGATACAGACGAGAACAAGAAACCTTGTGAAAGAATTGAAACTGACACATACAGCCTCGTTTTCAAACGCCTAAGTGCGCAGATCAACGCTAAAAGCGTCGTATTGGGATCCCTCTATAGGCGGGGACATGGTTCTAAAGCCACAGTCAATTAGCCGGGAATTTCCGGTTGACCTTTGCAGCTTATCTGTTATTTTTGCAAATGATTTGGGATGCCAATAAAACGTAGAAAAGTCAGACATTAGTGAATTTTAATTAAAAAGGTTATTTTCATTTCATCAATATATGGGAAAGTCTATACCATGCCTGTCAAAAAGTGACACTTGAATTGCGTTTAAAAAATGGATTCTTTGAATTAAAAAGTTACGGTGTCAGCCCTTTGTAGACCAAGTTCACTGAGCAGTACTAATCTTTCCGGTGAACTTACTCTGCCAGAAACTGGCAAAGTTAGAAAGTCTGACAAGTAGAGACTTCCGCGGGGACTTCAGTTAACGGGTGTGATGTACGATTTTCAAACTCGTTACCGGTTCAGCTCAGATTTTTGGTGATTGACGATCAATAACGGGCCTAACAGTTAACTGTAAGAAAAGAACACTCTCATTGTAACCTCTTTTCTTCTTCGTGGGCAAGATTAAGACCGCCCCATTGTTGAGAATCCCCTACCTTATTGTCGGCTAAACAATTGTGGTATAGGCACTGTTTTAATCTGTATGGATCGAAGATTTTGACCAGTCTAAGCTGGTGGCTATTCTTTTGTTGGAAGTATTGATTTGGGAATGAAGTACGGATTTACGCACGTCGGAGATTTGTGGTTGCGTCATTGTTGCGGATTTGAAAACTAAATAGGCCCCAGGTTCGGTACTGATCAACCCAGCTCCACACCAATATGCCACCATGAGACAAACTTGCAGAAAAGACAAAATGAACATACACGACGGACAATACAGAATTGTGCCCTTCCGCCCCTAGATTTATATGCGACCCACTGCCAACAGCTGCATACTTTAGTAGTAGTGTGGCAAAGAGAGTACATGAAATTCGGCCAATGGCTCCTTTTATAACATTAATATTTCGAAATAAAACCGAGGCTGTACTTGCATCCCTTTCAAGTGTCAGGAGCTTGCCGGTGCGGCTTCAATCCAACAATTACAAAAAAAAATCAGTAAATTTGTTTCTAATTTCGTGCGTCAGCAGTAGCGTAAGTAGGGGGTGGGGCACGGGAGAGCATGCCCATGCCCCGGGCCCCCCGGCGTCGACGAATAATACAAAAACAGAGACCCTAGATTCCTGTAAATCAGGGGCCAACTATCTATTAATGACAGTTGAGTCACTAGTCTGTCATTTGACAGGGCGTATAGGTCAATAAAAGACAACCACAGTCGCTCTCATTAATGAGGGCGCACGACGCTGAACAAACATAATTAGTGGCAAGCTATATGCAGACTGAATACAAAGGAATTCGAATGGCATTTTGACGCAGAGGAAAAACCAGTTTTATCACTCTTGGAATGGTCCACCCATTTAGAACTATGCCCCCTTTTCAGTGGTCGCTGTGAGCGTTGCTTTAAAGGGCCTGATTTAGAAGACATTGCAAATACAGCGTATATACAGGAGCGGAAACATCCACAAATTAACAAAAACAAAACCAAAATAAACTTTTTTGGCGCATTTCTTGCAAAAATTCAATCACGCAGTTCACTTAAAAAAATTCGAAAATGTGCCGCTGGCATTTCCCTCAACCTTTTCGCGATGGTAAAATTCGTACATCGGGGTGCTGGTATTTTTTCTCACATAGTTTGCGACTAGATGGGTAAAGGCCGAACACAAGGAAATGAACTAAGAGTCCCCGCCTGCTTTCCTTTCCTCAGCTGGCCTACTTATTTGTTTGATCTCTTTTTCTTTTCTTTTAACTGTTCACCTTTTGCTGAATTTTCAACAAATTTGGACTTTTGTTTCTAACATGTGGCTTTAAAATGAAAGTTTAAAACCTGTCCAACGGGTGGAAACTCTGTTAATTTAGACATTAAAGATCGGCAGTGCAGGAAATCCTGCCATCTTCAGCTTGGAAAAAATTTGTTATGGTGCACAAATACATAAGTGAAATACGGCCGCTTCCCCCATTTCCCCCAAACCCGGTGGAAAACTATTCCGATAATTACGGACATTTTTACTGTTTTCCCCATCTCTTTTCTTTGGTGTTTTCGTTAGTTTCGATACACAAACATTGATCAGTAAACTACGAAAGCCCAATCGTGCCACTGAAACCGGTGGTCAATTAATTCGTAATAACGAAGTACTAATTCATTCTTACGAATTTGTAATAGCCAATTTGTTATTATGAATCGCTAATTCATAATAATGATTTGAAAACCACGTCTTTCAGGAATCATAATGCTTCGGAGCCCTTGTTTGTCAGAAAAATCAGGAACAATTAACTGTAAAAATCTGCAAAATGGTTTTTAAACATTTAAGAGGGAACAGCAAGTTGCACAGACTATTTTTGTAAGAAAAAAATCGTCGCATTATAGGCTCTTAATAATTTCTTTGAAACACGCTTAAAACAGAGAGAACCTGTGCTGCGTCTTGGGTAAGATTTTCAGCGTTATAACATGTGTAGAATATCATGCCAAATTTACGCAGAAATGTCTCAAAAGCTTAACGTACATTAAAATCAATCACACTCAGACATTTTCAGCTTGATAAACGTTTATTCCCCCTTTTTCCCAGCACATTTTCAAGGAAACAGAACTGCAGTAGCTTTGTAAGCCCAAACAGATTTTTTTCTCAAAATGTAATGAAATATGAAGGCACGTCTATGGTATCAAATGGATTGTCTACAAATTAATTTCTAAGTAGCCAAGGTTACCCTATATTCTACTCTTTACTAATTATGCTTCCCATACTAGCTCATGAAAGTTTCAAACAGTGCCCCGTAAAGTGATCCAAATAGATTTTTAAACTGTTTTCACGATTTCCTTCTCGACATATGTCAAATACATGTAAATAACCACTCTTATGATTTAAATGCAATGATTTAAAGCTTAAAAGTCAAAACCCAATGCTGAATCAGGAATGGAAAAATAAAAAAATGAGCTTAACACTTGCTGACATAATATCGGCATGATGCTACACATACTGAAATAAATGAAACAAAGTGATTATGGATAGCAGTTAAAGGTATTAACCAGTGACTGCATTATTCCTTAATTGATCATTTGTCGCTCAGACCAGTTTTAAACATGAGTTCCTTGCTAAACTTAAATTCCTGATTACTTCCGTCTAATTACCATGACATCGTGTATGACATCACGAAAACTGAATGAAATGTTTAACGAAAGTGGTATTGTCGGAAGCCAAACATAATTATAATGTGTTCACAAGCAACACGCAATTCTACAATTCATCATGAAAGTCTGCCTCTGAAAACATGCCATTACATTTTCATGATATAAATACCTCAATTGAAATTCCAAATGGAAACTGCTGAAAATGGGAATTTTCTCATCTTTCACCAAATTTCTTGTGAGGAATTCGGTGTAAGGTTGAATGATGACAACGGCTTGAAGTAGTAATAACAATGTCACGATTTTCCACATTTCAAAACCAAATTCATGAATGTTTTTGCATTGACAAATGAAAGGAATTGCATTGTCATGATGTGGAACATAAAACCGCAACCCCACAAACAGATGAGGAATTTTATCAACAGTGCATTTGTTTCATAGATTAAGAAAAGTCCCCACGACGTTAATCATACAGTAGCATATCATTACTACTAAACACCAACAGAACAGACAAAGACAAAGTACAGAAGTTACACATTGCACATATATCCATTTGATTGTTTTGCGGGATGTGCGAGCAAAGCAGGTAATCTGATTTGGTGAAGTGTATGGTCAAAACTAAAGTTATATAGAGACTTTTTTTGAAATCAGAGATTATGCATTTATCGAATAATCTGATCATGATCTCATCGTAATGTGTAGTAAGTCCACTGAATGACTGGATAAGGCCTTGGTTTGACTTCATGAAAGAAGAACCACGTGACAAAAGTCACGGTAGCAGGTTTAGGTGTGTCCAAGATGACAACCTGGATGAGAATGGCAATGATGGAAGTTGCACCCCATTCCCAGAAAGCATTCCAACAGACCGTGGCAGGATGACAAGGACCACAGTAGGGCAAGCACACAGGATGCAAGCAGAAGGATGTAAAGAGCAAGGAACACGACGAATCAGCTCATTGAGTGACTGAATAAGGCCTTTGATCGACGTTATGAAAGAAGAACAACTTGATAATAGTCATGGTAGCAGCTTTAAATGTGTCCAAGATGACACCGTGGATGAGAATGGCAATGATGGAAGTTGCGACCCATTCCCAGAAAGCATTCCAACAGAGACCGTGGCAGGATGACAAGGACCACAGTAGGGCAAGTACACAGGATGCAATCAGTAGGATGTGAAGAGCAAGGAACA